ACACGTTATTGTTAAGGACCACGGCTCGAAGTTGTCCTGCTCTAAGTCTTGCGGCCGCTGTGCCGTGTTGTTCGTTTCCAAGTATTGGGGGCTCGACATTTCAGCGTGTTGTAACATTACGTCACGAATAATCTCGTCGTAAAGTGAAACAGTTATCTATAACATTTCTTTGCTCACATTCCCGCGCAATTGTCCTCAAAATTCTATTTGTTCTTCCTATTAACGTTTGCTAATATTTAATATCAGGTGAGAGTGGAGTACTTCAGGGCACATTAAAGCTAACTGAACATCTTAAACACATAAATCGCATAGGACCATGCACATATAATTTGTTTTTCTAGTGAACTTTGGACCATGGCGGACAAACAGAGATCCCTTTCTTAACAAACAGTCGGTTGTTGGATGGAAGTAGCGTCTTGACAAATACGCTTAAAACTTAAAATCCAATGAAAAAAAAACCTCTCTCATCTAAGACTCGTGACACTTAACTAGTCTTTACCAAGTTTTAAAAATGTGTTTAATATCTTTAATATACCCACAGCCGAGAAAATCGGTTTCTCATACAAATAATGAAATTGTTCTACAATTTTTTTTATTTTAATGTATACTTTTTTAGCACCATATTATAGGCATTTCGACCTACAAATATTCGATTTTTACAGAAATATTCCAACGGCAACACACTAATGACTATTTACGATATCAATCTACGTTTAATTTCAATGTTATTTTGAGAATAAAAAATAATAATTTGGGTGACTAAAAGAAATACTACACTTTATAATCATCACATCAAAATGTGTATGTTACCAGTGAAGGTAATTTTTTTTTTTTTTTGACTAATTTAAAACCCCTTGGTGCACTGAGACAAAGTGCCCGTGTTCAACATTTAAAATTGCCTGCATGAATTATTTAAGGACATTTGACTTTATGTATAGCTTCCGTGTGGCTTACTGGATGACCTCTTGAATCAATCGCCGCTACTTTAAACTTAGGCTGTAAGTATAAGTGGTCTATGTCATTGGTCGACATACCGGACGTATTGTGGACGTAGCCGATATGGATTATCCGGCCCTTTGACTTAAAAGCTGATAGGAAATATATATTCTGAATGGAAATATATATTCTGATTGGAAATAAATATTCTGATTGGAAATACATATTCTGATTGGAAATAAATATTCTGATTGGAAATATATATTCTGAGTGGAAATATATATTCTGATTGGAAATATAAATTCTCATTGGAAATATATATTCTGATTGGAAATATAAATTTTGATTGGAAATATAAATTCTGATTGGAAATATAAATTTTGATTGGAAATATAAATTCTGATTGGAAATATAAATTCTGATTGGAAATATAAATTCTGATTGGAAATATATATTCTGATTGGAAATATAAATTCTCATTGGAAATATATATTCTGATTGGAAATATAAATTTTGATTGGAAATATAAATTCTGATTGGAAATATAAATTCTGATTGGAAATATAAATTCTGATTGGAAATATAAATTCTGATTGGAAATATAAATTCTGATTGGAAATATAAATTCTGATTGGAAATATAAATTCTGATTGGAAATATAAATTCTGATTGGAAATATATTACAAAAAAAAAAAAAAAAGCATTCATTCGATGGCGATATGAAGCTTAGAGTCCCCCCCCCCCCCCAACCGGGTGGGCCAAATTTTTTGCCACCCCCTTCCGTAAAAAAACCTCTGCACTTTGTCGAAAATGCCACCCCTAAATATAAAAGTAAAGTGCCACCCAGAGTGGAGCACCCCTCCGTACCCCATTTCTTCTCTACTGGATTCATTATACCAACTCTTTTTTTTTGGGGGGGGGGGTGGGGGTGGAGGGGGGGGAAGATAAATTAATAAATTAGTTCAATAAGGCCCAATTTAAGCATCTCTCAAGTTGCAATTCTGGTGAGTTCTAAACTTGGAAATTATTGACTCAAGCTAAGAGACTGGCGCACAAACGAAAGGTCAAGGATTCTAATTGGTGCCGGGTCTTCAATGGCTATGGGCAAATGTCTCTAGAAAGGACATGTCAGTTCAGTTTGGTATCTATACCTCACCCACTTTTGAGATAGCGGGACATTGATCAGTGGGGGAAAAAAACCAACAACTTCATATGCAAAACATGGTAGTACGCAAAAATCTTTGTTAAGTTTGAACTGTTGTACAAAAAAAACACATGGCGAGAAAAGCAACCCGTGTTGAAATCCTCAACGTGGGATAGTGGGATGTTACTTGGCTTACACAGCATTTAGCTTGAGAATGGTTGGACACAAACCAAAGCTTTGGACTTTGTCAAGGTTGGGATACTCCGCGCACGTTTCACCAATGCTGTTGGTTATTGTGTTCGAGCGGTGAAGATGCCACTTCTTCGCGATTTGTTCACGGTTAGGGATAGGAAAATGACCTGCTTCAGCAGTCGCGGTAACCAATCAACTTGACACTCCATTACGCATCTCTTCATCTCATGTCAGAAAACGCTGCATGCTTTAACATCTTCAGAGAACGGAACAAATTGTTACTTTGTTGGTGTTGTATAGAGCGAGCTGCCAGTCAGATCACGTTTTTCAAGCACGCTGTAATTAACCTCTGCCTAGAGTGAGTGTCTATGGTTTACTGTGAAATAAAGATAAATGTATTCCCACCCATGTATTATTATAACTTATGTTTAAAATTATTCGTTTCTTTCTTTGGCTCCGTTGTTAATTGGTGATAATTAAAAACAAAAATAAAAAAAAATTAGTTTTTCTCATTTAATATTCTTCAGATCGAACGTCGGACCAGAGCTTTGGTCTGTTGCAAACTCTTTAGATCGGTCATTGGACTAGAGTTTGTTGTTGTTTTTTTTTTTTGTTGTTTTTTTTTTTTTTTGNTCACACGGTCAAATTTTCCTTCAGATCGTGTATGAAGGCACAATTTTGTCTGCGGATTTATGGACACAACGAAGAATTTTATTTTTCACGTTCAAGCATTGGATTTAGAATCTTATTCTACGGAGGCAAAAAAAAAAAACCCTAAAAGACTGACATTTGTATTCCATAATTTGGCAATGTTGTTGTATGTAGGGTTTCTTAAACTGGGCGCTGTTGCGGACCCCCATCAAAACAAATCTAAGGTAATGCGAACGAATGACAAATTAATTTTAAGTTATTTATCCATGTATACACCATGCATGCAAGGATCGAACGAATATGTCCAAAAATAAAAGTTTTGATGACTCATTTCTTTATTGGATCAAGTTTCACAATTGGAATTTAATGTTCATTAATCAAACGCATTATTTTAACTTTTGCATCGGTCAGATTCTCTCAGTCTATCCAGGGGGGAGAAAGCAAAACTGACCACTGCCGGTGAGGCTGCCGCTTACCTACTTAACAAGTCTCTAGCTCGCCCATTCCACCCCACCCCACCCCACCCCAAATTATATGAAAAAGTGCATGTGCAAAAATGAATAATAACGACATAACAAAATACAATACCAGACAAGACATCGCAGACAAGACATCCCAGACAAGACATCCACCCGTTATAAGTATTTTTCACACATTAAATTGGAGAACATCGTACAATGACGTCACATCACTTAGAACGTGTACAAGGAAACTGTTTAAAAGGGAATGTTTAGGTGCAAAATTGTGCGGAGTGTGTAGGCTGAAGAAAGTGCAAAATTGTGTGGCTTAAGCTAGTTCACACTTATGGGGGAATGTGTAGGTTTAACCTTGTGAAAAATTGTGTGGAATGTGTTGGTTAAATCTTGTGGAAAATTGTGTGGAATGTGTAGGTTTAACCTGGTGAAAAATTGTGTGGAATGTGTAGGTTTAACCTTGTGAAAAATTGTGTGGAATGTGTAGGTTTAACCTTGTGAAAAATTGTGTTGAATGTGTAGGTTTAAGCTGGTGAAAAAGTGTGTGGAATGTGTAGGTTTAAGCTGGTGCACATTATTTTGGTATTTGAAATTGTGAAATCGGAATCACACCCAGAGAATCGTTGGTGTAATAAACACATTAAGACTCCTGATACAAAACAATTCATAGTGCATTTTTGTTTGCTTTCGTCCAACGTTTTCGAAATTAAAACATTATGCGTCTTGTATCTCTTGTTGATGCACGCCCCCCCCCCAAACCAACCCCCGAAGTCGTCTTAGATGCCAATAACCACCTTCGTCCACAGCTGAGTGTGTCATAACCCAACACCGTACTCTCGGCTGTTCATTGATTGGAAGACTAAAGCCCTGGGACGTGCTTCCGAAGATGAGATTGTTTGTCCTAATGATGCACTCACATTTCAAAGAATAATAGATATTTTTTAAAAAAAGGACGACTGCAAGATTATGGAAAGTTGGACACCCGATCTTTAATTTGAAAAAAAAGAAAAGGAAACGGTCGTTGAGATTTCACAAGCCAAAGGCGTTCCGTATGGAGGTGTTGTGGGGAGCCCATGACAGTTGACCAGGACTTACAGTTAACATTTTTAAAACGCTCAAAAGTCAGTATCTGAGTTTTCTGTCAGGACACAAGTTTCTCAAATTTTGTTTAGATCACGGAACAATGGACGTTGATGGGTATTTTGTTTTTCTTCCAAAGCGACTTACAAATGCAACCCACAATGCAGTGGCGTAGGAGGGGGGCGCCCCAGGTGTACACTTTTTTCTTTATATTAAGGGGTGAAATTTTCGGCCATATATAGAGTTTTATTTCGTGGAAAGAAAAAAAAAAGGGGGGGGGGGTGTCAAAAAGCTTGACCCACCACCGGCACCGGCGCCACTAACCCTAGCTACACCACTGCCTCAAAATTATTTATGAAGACATACAAAATAATCAGGTTTACCGTACACGCAAAGCTTTGTCTCACATGACGACATGCACTGTTATCCAAGGCCAAACTTCTGCCAGAACGAGTTTCAATAAACGCTTGTTAAAGTCCTTATGTTTTTCAGTGATGTTTTAAACAAAGATTCTACAATGATGT